GTGTAATGGTTGAACATTTCAAGTGAATCAAGTAGTTAAAATTTTACTATTTTATGCTACATTTTTGAACCCCTACAGATATATTTTGCTGTTTGTGTATGTCGATCTACAAAATAATGTATAGAGTGTCCCAGTTGTTTATTTTCACAGTTTTTGGTCTTCACTTACACGTCCATATGCTACGACCTGTTTTTGCCGTTGCATTCGGAAAGATTCATTACAAATTCAAGAAAAAGATATTATGTTCTCTTAGACTGTAGACAATCATGTAGGATTTTGGTCCAAACTGTTGTCACTAGTTAAAAGGTAAATACGATAGGGTTCACTGAGTAACTTAATTTTTTGGCAAAAGAGCCCGAAAGTAAAAGGTCACGCATGCGCAGCGAGCTTCCAGAACCCTCTCGTATAGAAATTTTACATTTGGGCCGTCTATCACGTTCGATAATTTTGGAAGAATAATTCTTAACTGAAACCACCCCATGAAACACCCATGTTGGAATTTTACCTTCGTCATCCTCAAGTAACATTTAGGAAAAGTTACATGGAGATGGGTAAAAGACGAATGTTCTTTATTTAACGACCTCTCACGTCCGGCGGTATCGTACCCAGGTCTCCATGTTCATGCACGTTTGTTTTCACTGCCCGTGCTTATATACGTGAAAACGAGATTGTACAACGTTGCAAAGATTTACCTACTTGCAGTCGATGAGTTCCAGATTCCGTTGAGTTGTTGACATCGCACAGTTGTTGTCAGCAAAGGTTAAATAAAAGATTAGAATCTTTCATAATTGAAGTAGAATATTGCTTTAAGTTTATTTCTTATTAATTATAAGACTGTGTAACATATTTTGATCTGTTTTTACTTCGGCTTTTACCGACGGACTAGTATAAAATTTCAAACCGTGAATGTCCATCTGCGTACGAGACTGCCTTGTTGCACTGCTCTTCATGTATTTTAGATTTTCGGAACTGATGGGTCAATTTATGGCAGGATATTCCTCTTTAGGTTTCAAATTGATATACTAGCAAATATTTTCCAAAGCCCCTTTTCTCAGTTGGACTTTTTAAAGAAGTAACGGGACGAAAAAATATTACAAATTCTAAAATCTTTGGGCGTTTTTTTCCTATCCAAGGGTTCCGGAAGCGCGTCATCAGGGGTCAACTTTCAGACTCTGTTAAACTAGTGCAGGTTTGAATTTGTTTTCCTGGCTCAAGGTAAACCCTGACGTTAAAGGTGACCAAAGCAGGTTGTTAGGCATGTATAGAGGTAAGATCAGATGGGAGGTGATTGCATTTGGCAGTAAATGTTTTCAATTAAGAAATAAGCAACACAGACTCAGCAACTGAGGCTAGGCGCTCTTCGCAGGGAATTTTAATGGTGTAAATTAAAAAAAAAATCATAACCAGACTTTTTCCTAATTTTCACTTCCTTAAGTGAATATAGGGCAGTTAGGCATATAATTCATTATATAACCTGTAATTACAATGTATTTTAAAATAGATGATATAAAAAGAAATAAAATAATCGGCATTGCTGAAGATTTAATTGCTGTCCCACCTCTACTTCTTAAAATCAGATTTTTTTCGTTGCGCAAAACTCCCCAACAGTTGAACGGATGGGCAAATATTCAAAGTTTTATTTTTCACCTATTTTTCTTCCCAAAATTCTGTTAAGCATAACATATACTACAGTCCTTCAATTGAATGCTTGAGCCTAGCTGGAGTTTGCGC